GCTCAAGGGATCCTCCTGCCTCAGCTCCCAGTAGCTGGGACTACAGGCATGTGCCACCATGCCCGGCTAATTTTTTGTATATATTAGTTGGCCAATTAATTTCTTTTATTTATAGTAGAGAGGGGTCTCGCTCTTGCTCAGGCTGGTTTCGAACTCCTGACCTCGAGCAATCACCCGCCTGGCCTCCCGAGAGCTAGGATTACAGGCGTGAGCCACCGCGCCCGGCCCTTTACATCTTAATCCCAAATTGCTATTCATTTCTTTTTATTATGTCAACATAACTATTTATACTATTACATCAACAAATGTTTAGACAAAATAAAAGTTTTAGCCAGGTGTGGTGGCTCATGCCTGTAATCCTAGCATTGGGAGGCCGAGGCAGGAGGACGTTTGAGGTCAGGAGTTCAAAAACAGCCTCAGCAAGAGTGACAGCCCATCTCTACTAAATATAAGAAATTGGCCAGACAACTAAAAATAGAAAAATTAGATGGGTGTGGTGGCACAGGCCTGCAGTCCCAGCTACTTGGGAGGCTGAGGCAGGAGGATTGCTTGAGCCCAAGAGTTTGAGGTTGCTGTGAGCTAGGCTGACGCCACGGCACTCTAGCCAGGGCAACAGAGTGAGATTCTGTTTATTTATTTATTAAATAAATAAAAGTTTTACTGCTTTATTTTGTTACCATTATTTATTCTTAGGCCTTCTTCTCTCAACATGTTCATTTCTCATTTGCTAAACTAGATAAATAGGTCTGTGAGAATAAACTTTTGAATATTTCTTTAAGAGACAGAGTCTTGCTCTGTGGTCAAGTTGGAGCACAGTGCTGCAATCAGAGCTCACTGCAGCCTCCAACTTTCTGGCTCAAGTGATCCTCCTGCCTCAGCCTCCTGAGTCAGCTGGATTACAGGCATGAATCACCACATCCAGCTTGAGTCCTTGAATGTTCAAAAATGTCTTTTGCCTTCAAATAGTAAGTGAAATATAGATTCTAGAATCAAAATTACTTTTCTTCAAATTTTCATGGTATTGATTTATTGTCTAGTACAATATTATGAAAAAGAAGGTGAATGCCAATCTGATTCTTATTCTTTGTGGGCAAGCTTGGATTTTGCTATTTTTAGTGTCTCTGGAAGCTATTAGGACCCTTCACTACCATTCTCAAAGCCACAAAACTTGTCTTTCCTTAGCTATGCAAAGTTTTATCCATTTCCTGTTTTTCTCTCTTTTTCTGGAATTCCATTAAACAATTTGGGAGCTTCTGGATTGATTCTCCATGTCTCAATTTTTCTTTGTATTATCTCTTGGCTTTATGTGTCCAGTTGGCTTGTCTAGTATATAAATCTGTGTAACTGTGACCATTCTGTTACTTATATTTTGTTATTCTGTATTCTTTATTTTTCTTATATTTCATAGTTTCCAATTCTGAAATAAATCTCGCTTTAGTAACAAATCTTGTTTTATGAATTTATGTTTTTAATCTCCCTAACAATATATTTTAAAGTTATTTTCTATCTGGATTCATATTTTCATGTTAATTTTTCTGTTATTAATAAATTTGTCTTTCTTTCAATAGTGTTGTTTTCCACAAATGTTTAGTCTGCTTAATTTATTATCTTTTTTTTTTGAGAAAGAGTCTTGCTCTGTCGCCCTGGGTAGAATGTAGTGGCATCATCGTAGCTCACAGCAACCTCAAACTCCTGGACTCAAGTAATCCTTCTGTCTCAATTTCCGAGTAGCTGGGACTACAGGCACACAACGTGATGCCTAATTTTTCTATTTTTAGTAGAGATGGGTCTCATTCTTGTTTAGGCTGGTCCGAATCTCTGAACTCAACCAATCTCCTGCCTTAGTCTCCCAGGGCTAGGATTATAGGTGTGAGCCACCTCGCCCAGCCATTGCTACTCATTTTTATGTTATAAATTATTGTTGAAAAATCCATGGCTATTAGCTATAATTACAGGGGCCTATCCCAGTCATAGTAGAGTAGGGGCAGAACATGGTTTCAGGAGAATGTGCTAACAGTAAATCATCTCTGGAGGCTAGGGCTCCCTATCTACCCTGACCAGCTCTTCTAGCTCCAGGGACTACAACCACAGCCTGTGATACCTATACTCAGCACACCCGCAGAAGCAATATACCCATGCTCCCTCCATTTCCTGTCTGCTATGAGCTCAGAGAATGCAAGGCAGCCCATCTTACTCACTGTTTCTTAAACATGTTCTAGACTGATCTCTTCTTCTGTAATTGTATGCCAACTATTGCACACTTACAGAAATGTTTTAAAACTTATGTCTGCTAACAGCTTCCTCATTTTCAACACTAATGTACCTTTTCATTTTAATAATACATTTTTACCAGGATATGGGGTGTCAGATAAGGCAGATGTAGATGTTCAGTTTGCCATTTTGATCTATTTGTACCTATATATTCCTAATAATATATTCCTTATCTACAGATAAGACAGAGAGGTGTGTATGGGTGGTGTGTGGATGTACTATGCCAGACCTTGGTATTGCGATAATGCTAGCCTCATAACTACAGTAAGCAGATCATATGGCACTAATATTACCTGTTCTTTGAAAGTTTCTAGAAAAGCTCTTGAGGCCAGGTGCGGTCACTCATGCCTGTAATCCTAGCACTCTGGGAGGCTGAGGTAGGAGATTGAGTCAGGAGTTGAGACCAGCCTGAGTAAGAGCAAGACCTCGTTCTACTAAAAATAAAAATTAGTCAGGCGTCATGGTGCGTGCCTGTAGTCCCAGTTACTCGGGAGGCTGAGGCAGGGGATCACTTGAGTCCAGAATTGAGGTTGCTGTGAGCTAGGTTGACGACACGCATTTTAGCCTGGGCAACAGAGCGAGACTCGGCGTTCAAAAAAAAAAAGAAAAGCTCTTCAATAAAACATTATGTTTTGTACGCTACAGAGTAATTTTAGTAATATTCTAATTTTTAAAGGCTCTTAATTTTTGCAGAGCTTCCATCTCTTTTATTTAAATACTACATAAATTAGCTTGTGTTATTTTATAAAATCTTTTTCCTTTTATTCAAAATTTTTAACTACATATAAAATTGATTTTCTTCATTTTTTATATTTCTAATTTCCAAATGTTATGGAAATGTACAGATTACCCTGAATCTGATTACTTTATTAAGAAAAGATTTTTTTACACATAAATAATAAGCTCCTGGCGGCGCGGGTGGCTCACGCCTATAATCCTAGCACCTGGGAGGCGAGGTGGTGGATTGCTCGAGGTCGGAGTTGGAAACAGCCTGAGCAAGAGCAAAACCCTTTCTACTATAAACAGAAGAAATTAATTGGCCAAATATATATAGAAAAAAATATAGAAAAATTAAAATATAAGAAAAAATTAGGCGCAGGCTGTGGCGCAAGCTTGTAGTCCAGCTACTTGGGAGCTGAGGCAGTAGAATTGCTTGACCGGAGTTTGAGTTTGCTGTGAGCTAGGCTGATGCCACGCACTCTAGCTGGGCAACACAGTGAGACTCTGTCTCAAAATAATATAATAATAATAAGCTCCTGTATTGTCAACTATTTTTGTTTCTTAACTTCTTCTGCCTTTTGTCTTACTCTTTCCGACTGATTTCCTTGGAGTTGTTTTTATTTTTTTGAGACAGAGTCTCACTTTGTTGCTCAGGCTAGAGTGAGTGCCGTGGCATCAGCCTAGCTCATAGCAACTCCAACTCCTGGCTCAAATGATCCTCTGCTCAGTCCCGAGTAGCTGGGATACAGGCATGTGCCACATGCCTGGCTAATTTTTTGTATATATATATTTAGTTGGTCAATTAGTTTCTTTCTATTTTTTTAGTAGAGACGGGGGCTCGCTCAGGCTGGTTTCGAATCTGAGCTTGAGCAATCTACCAGCCTCAGCTTCCCAGAGTGCTAGGATTACAGACGTGAGCACCCGGCCATCATTTTATTTTTTAACATCTTTAATTGACTTAGCTCATTTTGCTTTTTCTTAATGTTAACAACACAACGTTATGCTAAATGCAATTTGGTATCCTGGACTGGATCTTGAAACAGAAAAACTGGAGAAAACCTAATAAATCTATAGTGTAGTCAGCAGTAACTTGACAATGTTAATTTCTAAATTTTGACAAATGTACCATGTTCTGTAAGATGTTAGCATTAGGGAAACTGAGTGAAGTTGGGAATTCTCTGTACTATGTGTGCAACTTTCTGCAAATCTAAATTATTCCAAAATAATATTTATGACATATTTTTAAAAGTTTAAGTATAGTTTTGGTAATACCATAGTTTTGATATATGGCATTTATTCTAGACTTTCTAAGTAATTCCCATAGTATAATATTCCTTTATTTGCAGAGTAGTTTATTCTAGTAGTAGAGTTTTTTTTTTTTTTTTTTGAGACAGAGTCTCACTTTGTTGCAGGCTAGAGTGAGTGCCATGGCGCAGGCCTATCTCACGCAACCTCAAACTCCTGGCTCAAGCAATCCTGCTGCCTCAGCCTCCCGAGTAGCTGGTTACGGCATGCGCACCATGCCCGGCTAATTTTTCTATATGTATTAGTTGGCCAATTAATTTCTTTGTATTTTATAGTAGAGACGGGGTCTCGCTCTTGCTCAGGCTGGTTTTGAATCTCTGACCTCGAGCATCACCCGCTCGGCCTCCCAGAGTGCTAGGATTACAGGCGTGAGCCACCGCGCCCGGCCTCTAGTTAGTAGAGTTTTAAAATTAAATTTTATTTTCAGTATTACTAAAAATAAGTTGGCAGAAATGACTGTACAATTTCCACATTCTGGAACATGAAGTTTTTCTTTATGACATAAACTCCAGCTCCCCCCAACTTAATTCTGAAGCAATAAATGCAAAACTATTATATTGGGGGTGTGAAAATAGACTATGGAGAAGTGTTTACAATAACTATAATTTTTTATTGAAACTTTGTTTTCTACTTGTACAACAAATATAAAAGAATCTAGGGAAGATCTTTCAAGCCTTTCATAACTGACAATGTAAAAGTCTCACCAGTTGCTGCTCCACAGGTGGTGGCACATCCTGGTTGGCATAAACAATGGCAGGGTTGTAAAGACTGAACACCACAGGGTAAAACACCTTCTTACCTATAAATGAAAATATATGTTTGTATCACACAAAGAAGTTATGAAGGATTGCTCCTTATTATAATATCTATTAAGGCTTTATTAAAGTCTTTCTATTATCACACAGGATAATTTTATTGTATTTTATCAATATTCAGGCTATAGAACATCATGTCAATTGATGAATATGATGATTTTAACATATCAATAGGTCAGGCTATGAAACTACAACCTTGTAAAAGAACAGAAAATAAAACAGACTTCACATGTTTGTTCCCTTTGACTCTGGGGATACAAAGTTATTCTCTTAGTTATTCATTAGGGGAGCCATTCAATACTCATTATTTCATCTAATCAGCAGTAATAAACATCGATTATTTCTGACAATCACCAAATAAACTTAGAAACTTCTGTTAAATCTACCCTTCAAAATCCAAGGGATACTGAATAATGAATAGATATGTAAAGAATAATTAAAATAGGGCCAGGCATGGTAGCTCACACATGTAATACTAGCACTTTGGGATGCCAAGGCGAGAGGATTGCTTGAGACCAGGAGTTCAAGACCAACCTGGGCAAAAGAGTGAGATGTCACTACAAAAAAATTTTAAAAATTAGCCAGGTGTGGTGGTGTTCACCTGAGGCTGCAGTGAGCTATGATCACACCACTGCACTCCAGCCTGGGGGACAGAGTGAGTCCCTGTCTCTAAAAAAAAAAAAAAAAAAAATATTACACACACAAAAGGCAGATTTGAACCAAGATCTGGAAAAGTTGGGAAAACAAGAGTTAAAAATACCTGATGTAGGCTGGGCGTGGTGGCTCACGCCTGCAATCCTAGCACTCTGGGAGGCCGAGGCGGGCAGATTGCTCGAGGTCAGGAGTTCGAAACCAGCCTGAACAAGAGCAAGACCCCCATCTCTACTATAAATAGAAAGAAATTAATTGGCCAACTGATATATATAGAAAAAATTAGCCAGGCATGGTGGTGCATGCCTGTAGTCCCAGCTACTCAGGAGGCTAAGGCAGCAGGATTGCTTGCACCCAGGAGATTGAGGTTGCTGTGAGCTAGGCTAACGCCATGGCACTCACTCTAGCCTGGGCAACACAGTGAGACTCTGTCTCAAAAAAATAAACAAAATAAAATAAAAAAATAAAAAATACCTGATGTAATAGCCCTTGCAGAAGACCTGGCCATTAGTATTCAAACCGATTGCATTCAAGGGACTAGTGTCTACCTCCCAACAAAGAAACCCTTGCTGTGACTGCCTTCAATCAAGCAGGATCACATAAAGTGCTCAGTAACTGTAAGGGAGTGTGGAGTAACATGGTAGCCTTTTTATTATAAGATCCCTAGCAGATGTTCATTCCATCTTTTTTCAAATCCATTTAGGGAGGAGGAGCTTAATTTCCTGGAGGCAAACCTATTTCTGGATGTAAAATATTTCTCTTACATTGAGCAAATATGTCTCCTTTAACTTCTACATTTTGAATTTAATGCTTTTTACAGTAACAAAAATAAGCCTAACCCTCATTTACTCATTAGGCTCTCAGAGAGTTCCTGACAACTATCCCTAACCAAACTGATTAATAAGAAGGCAATCATTTGTATGATATGAGTAGTTCTACATAAAAACATTTACTATGAGATTCTTTTTAAAAATTTATTTTAATTGACAAAATTATATATACTTATGGTGTATAACATGTTTTAATATATGTATACACTGTGACATGATTAAACCAAGCTAATTAAAATATCTGTTACCTCACATACTTATTTTGTGGTAAGAACATTTATAATCTCCTCTCTTAGCAATTTTCAAGTATACAATACATTGTTGTTAACTATAGTTACCGTGTTGTACAGATTTCCAAAAGCTGGTTTGTTCTTCATCCTGTTGAGACTCTTTAATACAGAAAACTTCCTTTTTGTATTTAAAATAAAATTTGATTTATAAAAATGTCATTTGCTCATTTTTAAAAAATATCCACAACATAGAGAATAATATACTAATAGTAAATCACCCCAAAATTAAGAGTCTGGAGATCAAGTAGTATCTTTATCTAGACCTCTGCGTGAGTATGAATATATGTGTGCATGCATGTGTGTACATGCGTTATCTGTGTGTGGGGGCCGGCACTATATGCCTGAGGCTGAGTGCTTCTGAGTGCTTCACATCTCCACACCATCTGCTTGACTCTTTTTCTGACCTGTACTGCTTCCTTCTAATCAACGTCTAGACTTCCCTTCCTTTGCATTTATTTGGCTTCAAATTTAGTCACTGGAATTTGGCCCCAAAAGAACAAAGGATATGAACTTCAGAGGATCAAAATTTCAATTTCCTACTTAATATTCCAGTTAAATTATACTTTTTTTTTAAACATTGTCTCACTGTTGCCCGGGCTAGAGTGCCGTGGCGTCAGCCTAGCTCACAGCAACCTCAATCTCCTGGGCTCAAGCAATCCTCCTGCCTCAGCCTCCCGTGTAGCCGGGACTACAGACATGTACCACCATGCCCAGCTAATTTTGTATATATATTTGTAACTGGCCAATTAATTTATTTCTATTTTTAGTAGAGACAGGGTCTTGCTCTTGCTCAGGCTGGTCTTGAACTACTGAGCTCAAATGATCGCCCACCTCGGCCTCCCAGAGTGCTAAGATTATAGGCATGAGCCACCACACCTGGCCTATTCCGGTTAAATTATACTTAATGTACTTTAAGAGAAAATATATTAGGGTTTAAGTAAGACTTCTTTTTCTTAAAATTAAATAATTCAAAACATAGGACATGATGACACCATTCTAAATTCTATACTAAGCTCATCTACCAATGTTGTACGCACCTGGCTCAGCATTTAACCGGCAGCTGTTAAGGAATTCGGCTGAGAAATATATATCAACATCACAGAAAAACATCAAGACCTCTCCCTTGTCCCAAGCTCGGGCACCCACATTTAGTCCTCGTCCACGATTAAATTCTTCATTCAATGAGACCAAGGTGTAATTGTGAAAATTAGAGTCACTATGAGGAAAGCACATACAAAAAATGGTAAGTCCCATTTAAAGTTAACTCTCTTCCTTCAATGCAACTTACAAAATAACTTTTGCACTTCAAATATTTTATTATGTTGGTTCTACATTCACACAGGGAAAGAAAATGACCAGCTTCACCACGAGTATGATCATCAGGGACAGATATTCACCACATGCCCACTTCTGAGGCAGTATGTTGGTGGTGTGAAGTTCAAAAAGTATTAGGAAGTGGCCACTGCTCTTTAGGATCTTAAAAACCTATTGGGGGCTGGGCGCGGTGGCTCACGCCTCTAATCCTAGCACTCTGGGAGGCCGAGGTGGGAGGATGGCTCATGGTCAGGAGTTTGAAACCATCCTGAGCGAGACCCCGTCTCTACTAAAAATAGAAAGAAATTAATTGACCAACTAAAAATATATATCTGTATCCTAGCACTCTGGGAGCTGAGGTAGGAGATTGAGTTCAGGAGTTGAGACCAGCCTGAGTAAGAGCAAGACCTCGTTCTACTAAAAATAAGAAAATTAGTCAGGGCCATGGTGGTGCCTGTAGTCCAGTTACTCGGAGGCGAGGCAGGGATCACTTGAGTCCAGGATTGAGGTTGCTGTGAGCTAGTTGACGACACGCATTTTAGCCTGGGCAACAGAGCGAGACTCCGTTTCAAAAAAAAAAAAGAAAGCTCTCAATAAAACATTATGTTTTGTACGTACAGAGTAATTTAGTAATATTCTAATTTTTAAGGCTCTTAATTTTTGCAGAGCTTCCATCTCTTTTATTTATAAATATAACATAAATTTAGCTTGGTGTTATTTATAAAATCTTTTTCCTTTTATTCAAAATTTTTAAACTACATATAAATGATTCCTCATTGTTTATATTCAATTTCCAATGTTATGGAAACTGTACAGATTACCCCTGAATCTGATTCTTTATTAAGAAAAGATTTTTTACACATAAATAATAAGCTCCTGGCGGGCGCGGTGGCTCACGCCTATAACCCTAGCACCCTGGGAGGCCAGGTGGTGGATTGCGTCGAGGTCAGGAGTTGGAAACCAGCCTGAGCAAAGACAAACCACTTTCTACTATAAACAGAAAATTAATTGGCCAAATAATATAAAAAAATATGAAAATATAAAATATAGAAAAAAATGAGCCAGGCATGTGGCGCAAGCTTGTAGTCCCAGCTACTTGGGAGGCTGAGGCAGCAGAATTGCTTGAGCCGGGAGTTTGAGTTTGCTGTGAGCTAGGCTGATGCCACATCACTCTAGCTGGGCAACACAGTAGACTCTGTTCAAAATAATAAATAATAAGAAGCTCCTGTATTTGTCAACTATTTTTGTTTCATTAACTTCTTCTGCCTTTGTCTTACTCTTTCCGACTGATTCTTGGAGTTGTTTTTCATTTTTTTTGAGACAGAGTCCCACTTTGTTGCTCAGGCTAGAGTGAGTGCCGGTGCATCAGCCTAGCCCATAGCAACCTCCAACTCCTGGCTCAATGATCCTCGCTGCCTCAGCCTCCGCGAGTAGCGGGACTACAGGCATGTGCCACCATGCCTGGCTAATTTTGTATATATATATTTAGTTTGGTCAATTAGTTTCTTTCTATTTTTTAGTAGAGACGGGGTCCGCTCAGGCTGGTTCGAACTCTGAGCTTGGCAATCTACCCAAGCCTCAGCTTCCAGAGTGCTAGGATTACAGACGTGAGCACCCCCGCATCCTTTTATTTTTAACATCTTAAATTGACTTAGCTCATTTTGCTTTTTCTTAATGTTAACAACACAACGTTATGGCTAAATGCAATTTGTATCCTGGACTGATCTGAAACAGAAAAACTGGAGAAAACCTAATAAATCTATAGTGTAGTCAGCAGTAACTTGACAATGTAATTCTAAATTTGACAAATGTACCATGGTCTGTAAGATGTTAGCATTAGGGAAACTGAGTGAAGTATGGGATTCTCTGTACTATGTGTGCAACTTTCTGCAATCTAAATTATTCCAAATATAATACTTATGACATATTTTAAAAGTTAAGTATAGTTTGGTAATACCATAAGTTTTGATATATGGCATTTAATTCTATGACTTTCTAAGTAATTCCATAGTATAATATTCCTCCTTATTTGCAGAGTAGTTTATTCTAGTGTAGAGTTTTTTTTTTTTTTTTTTGAGACAGAGTCTCCTTGTTGCCCAGGCTAGAGTGAGTGCCTGGCGTCAGCCTAGCTCACAGCAACCTCAAACTACTGGCTCAAGATCCTCCTGCCTCAGCCTCCCAGTAGCTGGGACTACAGGCATGTGCCACCATGCCCGGCTAATTTTTTGTATATATTAGTGGCCAATTAATTTCTTTGTATTTATAGTAGAGACGGGGTCTCGCTCTTGCTCAGGCTGGTTTCGAACTCCTGACCTCGAGCAATCCACCCGCCTCGGCCTCCCAGAGAGCTAGGATTACAGGCGTGAGCCACCGCGCCCGGCCTGTAGTTTAGTAGATATTTAAAATTATTTTATTTTCAGTATTATTAAAATATTGGGCAGAAAGTGACTAGTTCTTCACATTCTGGAACACTGAAGTTATTTCTTATGAACTAAACTCTCAGCTCCCCACAATAATTTGAGCAATAAATGAAAAACATTATATTGGGGGTGTGAATAGACTGGAGAGTGTTTAATCTATATTTTTATTGAAACTTGTTTCTAATTGTACAAAATCATAAAAGAAATCTGGGAAGATCTTTCAAGCTTTCATAACTGCAATGTAACCAAGTCTCCACCGTATGCTGTGCACAGGGTGGTGGACATCCCTGCGTTGGGCATAAACAATTTGGCAGGGTTTGTAAAGACTGACACCACAGGGTAAACACCCTTCTTACCTATAAATGAAATATATGTTGTATAGCCAAAGAATTATGAAGATTCAGCCTATAATTATAATATCTATTAAGGCTTATTATATTTCTCATTATCACACAGGATAATTTTATTGTATCAATATCGTAATTATCATATTCCCGGTCTATAGATCATGAATCTGAGATGTGGTTAAATCTCAGCTAGGCACTATGAAACTACTAACGTAAGAACAAGAAGAAACAGAGTTTCACATGTTTTGTTCCTTTGACTCGATCAAGTTATGCTCTGCAGTTTATCGGGAGCCATCAATATCCTTATTTATCTATTCACAGTAATAAAATCCGATATTCTGACTTCAATACATTACAAACTTCTGTTAATCTACCTTCAAAATCCAAGGGATACTGAATAATGAGTAGAGTAGTAACAAATAATTTAAAATAGGGCCAGGCATAGGTAGCTCGACACATGTAATACTAAGCCACTTTGGAATGCCAAGGCCGAGGGAGGATTGCTTGAACCAGGAAGTTCTAGACCAACTGGGCAAAAGAGACGAGTGTCACTACAAAATTTTAAATAGCCAGGTGGGTTGGGTTCACGGCTGAGCCTGCAGTGAGCTATATCACACCACTGCACTCCAGCGCTGGGGACAGAGTGATCCTGTCCTACAAAAAAAAAAAAAAATATTACACACACAAGGCAGATTTGAAACAAGATCTGGAAAAGTTGGGACAAACAGAGTTAAAATACCTGATTAGCCTGGGCGTGGTGGGCTCACGCTGCAATTCTAGCACTCTGTGGATGGCTGAGGCGGGCAGATTTGCTCTGAGGCTCGGAAGTTGAAACCAGCCCTGAACAAGAGCAAGACACTCTCTGCCGACTTATAACTAGAAAGAATTATTGGCCAACTGATTATATATTTCATGAAAAAAAAAAAAATTTTAGCCAGGCACGGTGCTCCCAGAGAGCTAGGATTACAGGCGTGAGCCACCGCGCCCGGCCCCTTTGACATCTTAATCCCAAATTGCTATTCATTTCTTTTTAATTATGTCAACATAACTATTTATACTATTACATCAACAAATGTTTAGACCAAAATAAAAGTTTTAAGCCAGGTGTGGTGGCTCATGCCTGTAATCCTAGCACTTTGGGAGGCCGAGGCAGGAGGATCGTTTGAGGTCAGGAGTTCAAAACCAGCCTCAGCAAGAGTGACAGCCCATCTCTACTAAATATAGAAAGAAATTGGCCAGACAACTAAAAATAGAAAAAATTAGATGGGTGTGGTGGCACAGGCCTGCAGTCCCAGCTACTTGGGAGGCTGAGGCAGGAGGATTGCTTGAGCCCAAGAGTTTGAGGTTGCTGTGAGCTAGGCTGACGCCAGGGCACTCTAGCCAGGGCAACAGAGTGAGATTCTGTTTATTTATTTATTAAATAAATAAAAGTTTTACTGCTTTATTTTGTTTACCATTATTTTATTCTTAGGCCTTCTTCTCTCAACATGTTCATTTCTCATTTTGCTAAACTAGATAAATAGGTCTGTGAGAATAAACTTTTGAATATTTCTTTAAGAGACAGAGTCTTGCTCTGTTGGTCAAGTTGGAGCACAGTGCTGCAATCAGAGCTCACTGCAGCCTCCAACTTCTGGGCTCAAGTGATCCTCCTGCCTCAGCCTCCTGAGTCAGCTGGGATTACAGGCATGAATCACCACATCCAGCTTGAGTCCTTGAATGTTCAAAAATGTCTATTTTGCCTTCAAATAGTAAGTGAAATATAGATTCTAGAATCAAAATTACTTTTCTTCAAAATTTTCATGGTATTGATTTATTGTCTAGTACCAATATTATGAAAAAGAAGGTGAATGCCAATCTGATTCTTATTCCTTTGTGGGCAAGCTTGGATTTTGCTATTTTTAGTGTCTCTGGAAGCTATTAGGACCCTTCACTACCATTCTCAAAAGCCACAAAACTTGTCTTTCCTTAGCTATGCAAAGTTTTCATCCATTTCCTGTTCTTTTTCTCTCTTTTTCTGGAATTCCCATTAAACAATTTGGGAGCTTCTGGATTGATTCTCCATGTCTCAATTTTTCTTTTGTATTATCTCTTGGTCTTTATGTGTCCAGTTGGCTTGTCTTCTAGTATATAAATCT